TCCATGGATAATTAGAAGCTTAGGAAATGTTTTCTTTAGAGCATATCTGAAACACAAACATGAAAATCCATATTTAAGCAGTTACATGCTACTTAAAGATGCCAATTTCCATCACAATTAGCACAAATTATACAACATACTTGTGTTCATTTTTAATATCAAAGTCTATTTTTAAAATTCGTTTGTCTATAGTGAAATTATGAAATCACAAAGGTCAAGTGAAACCACAAAAGAAAGAGCACTATTTTATTTTTCCCAATGCACCATGTTTCTACACTGCTTACATACTGTTGTACAAGAAACCCTGTTAGTTTCTATATAAAGATTTCCATAAAATTTTTATAGTTTTCTATAAATGAATAAAAATCACTTGTTTTATTATACCCTGTGTTTCAATGCCAGTGGAAAGAAAAATTACCTGTGTCTTATAGCAATCTGTGTATACGGGAGTGGGTGGGTGTGCACAGATCCCTTTTTCCAGAGCACTATGACACTATTTTTATCAAAATATACATGAGCACTTGGTGAAAAAAACTTCTGGTATCCTCAACTCTAATTACCAATGTCAGAACAAATCGGCTATAAAAAAGTGCAAAATTTTGAGAACAAATTAATAATTGTATATGTTTTGTGATAAGAAATAATCACATTATGACCAATATGCTTAAAAGTCATTTGTAAACCTGTTTTGCTTGATATAACACAATGCTATTTATGCAAGTATCTGATAGGTTACTTACTATACCTTTATTTCATACTATCTTATATACATCATAACTACTACCAACTTTTAATCTGAAAAACATGTATTTTTTTGAAGCCAATAATGGGCTTTTGATGAGAGTGGCAAGCATTTACAAACATGTAAATTTAACTATTGTTTTTCCCTTAATTCAATTAGTATTCATTAAAATGCTGCTAACACAAGAAAGTTTTACCAATTATTTCCGTAATTATGAATGAACAGAGTAAACAAAATGACATAAGTAAAAAATGCACCTGGCTGACTACAGAACTATGGTTTTATTCATGATTCAAAGATATTCTTGGTTTTTCTTACTTCCAGCATCTGACTAACATGTTATCTTTGAGAACTGAGAGGACTCCCATTACTCTTGTCTTCCTTTCCTATAACAGGAATTTTCTACTGCTTATTGTTAGACGCTGAATAGACTTTCCTCATAACCCAAAGTAATTAAAATTCCATCCTCAATTTCATAATCTTAACTCTTAAAAATGCCTGTTTTATTATATAATTATGAAAGGTTTTTTTCATATCATACATAAGCTGTTGGAAGATTTTTTTCAAAAGTATGAGATCCTTTTCAAGTCAGAACCGTACCACTGTTGATGTTTTAGTATTTAAACTAGATAAGCTTTAAACAAATGCAGATGAGTAAGTAACATGAACTCTGAAGAGCCCTTGCTTTTCCTATTTTCATTGTTTGTTTTGCTCTCTTAAAAAATATAGGCACTGTACATCTTCCAGGAATTAACAAAGCCTCTGTTTTCAGGATAAAAATAGCAGGCTCACTAGATTTTTAGTGAAATATTGAGTGTTACAGTGATTTAATGGCTTTAAACCATAGATGTCATTGTGGTCTGACTGTGTCACAGACAACTTAAGAAAAGGAAAAATGGGGCACAGAGAAATCACTTTGTCAGTAATTACAATCAAGAGCCCTAAAATGTGGCTCAGGCTGCTCATTACTTCTTCTTTCTGTATCAAGACCCTTATTTACATTTCAGATTACATTTTTTATGAAACAGTAAGATCTATCAGAGCTGAGAGGACCGAAATAATGAGGGGAAAACATTTTAATAAAACGTGTTGGGTCTGCATTACTTCCGTGACAGAAAGAAAGGCTTCCTCTGTAGTGATGGATCATTTATTCTGCTTCTAAACGAGAAGCAAAAAGATGAAACTGATGAACTTTTACTGCCCATTTGTCTTTAGCAGACAATTAAGACAGAGAAGATCAAAATGGATTATCATACCATGCAGACAACTGGCCCAACAGTAATACATCTCTGAGACCACAGATTTGTAACTCTCTTTTATCCCTCCCCTTTCTTCTTACTTCTTTTTCCACTCTAAAGGCAGTGCTAGCTTTGTGGCTCAAGGAGAGCCAAAAGGCTGGTCATCATTATTCAGTCACAGATGTCAATCTAACCTCCCTTTTTTCTCAGTTTCTAAAGCAGTGAGGCACAATAATTTGTGACAGATTCTTTTACTGTAAGGTACAAAGAACACACAGAATAAAACATCTAGCATCAGCCAGCGTCTCTGATCAAGTGTGCGGGAACATGGGAAATATACTATATGTAAAAACAAGCTATGGTAGTTTAGGTGAATGAGGAGTGAAAACTGGAGGGAGAGAATATGGGCAGGAGAGAATCATAGTGTTCACATATATACACAGTAATGAGTGCTATATTGGATGGTGAATTATCTTAAATATTCCTTGAGGACCACATCATAAATGTTTTAATATCTGAAATGCTGTACTTAAAGTTTACACATAATAGAAATATTTGTAAGAATCTTTTATAAGGTATATGGGAAGGACAGATAATTCAAACAGTATACAGGAGAGACAGATAATTTGGTTTTATTCAAACAAATAATGTGGGAAAGGCCTATTATATTAGAAAATAAATTATTTTAAAAGGCAAATAAAAAATAAGCATTCTTCATTTTCTTTCATAGTAGATATGATTCCTCAAGTACATTTTTGGGAAGCTGGAAACAATATCTTCAAAACTCAAGTAGATCCTTCATGTTTCATTTCCTGAGTTGTTTGGGGTCAAGAAGAAAAATTATATATCTTAAGTTTGAAAAGATGCTTTTGGGGGGGACGGGTTTGAGACAGGGTTTGGTTTCTCTGTGTAGCCATGAGTGTCCTAGAACTCGTTCTATAAACCAGGCAGGCCTCAAACTCACAGAGATTTGCCTGCCGCTGCCTCCCGAGTGCTGGGATTAAAGATGTGTGCCACCAATGCTAAATAAGACTGTGTTGTGCACATTTTGTAGGTTTACCTTGAGCCCATAAGTCTGGTTTGCAAATTTCAACACTGTGTCACTCATCCAAACAAAGAAACCGGATACCTCTATCCTGTAAGCACCTTTAAAAATATCTACAACTATGACTTCACAAACACCTACTATAATTTTAATCATCCCAACTTTGATACAGGAAATGTGTGTAAGGCCATCTATTGACAAAGGTAAAGGACTAAATTTTCTACACAGTTTACATCACACTCGTCAACTGGACTCCACATGCAATGACACTGTAAAAAACAGTCTAGATTTCTTTGTGGATATTCATATTCATGTATAATACATAAACACATACCTGCCTCAAATGCATAAATACACATTATGTACTCAGGAGAAATGAACATAGATGCTAAAACTCTTGTTTGTTCTAGTAGTTTCTTCTGAGCATTAAAATACTGGAGTGGTTTATAGTTTCTTTATGCTTAAGTTTTAGTTTTGTTTTACCTCTAATTTCTGGAGTTTTGTTACAAATTTCTAACCTACACAAACTTTAGAAAAAAATCATGTCATTCAACTTCTTTCAGAGATAGTAAGGAATTCTGTTTAAAGGACTAAGTCCAGATGGTAAGCATGGTGTTCTAAGTTTTCTCCTACAGAATGGTCCCTACAGAACGATAATGCAGGGATCATGAAGGTTATTTACCTACTTAAAGGATTTAAGAACAATAATTTCCTTAAGAGCTATGACCACCAGTAATAGTTTTTCACCTTAAAGAAAGATGATCAGGAATGTTATTAAAGTCCTATAATCCTTAGCTTATATTACATAAAGGACAACCTCATAGCAACTTAAAACATGGTTATAATATATCTCTGCTAGTAGAAGATGAAGGAAAGGTGAGATAAGATTTTAATTTATTTTTAAGTTTTATTTTAATCTTGAGATCAGACACAAAGCAAACCAGACCAGATCTCCTGGGTTCTTATATCCTAAATCCTTATTATAAAACATGCCATTGCATTGGTTAGCTTATATTCCTAGTCACACTGTCACCCTTGTTTACAAAAAGACTATTAAACACCTTGTTCTTTCTATGACAGGCCATAATACAAAGATACTACCAATGCCCTAACATGCTTCTTTTCCATCATACTTACCCTTACTCAAGGGCTTGTAACAGAAAACCCTGAATGAATGCATCAGGAACATGCTTTGTGCACAATATTCCTTGTGTGAAAGGTCTGATAAAGTTGTCAAAGATAAAGTATGATAGCATTGTTGTTAATGATTCTTTTTTAATATTTAAAAAGCGTGTCAACTTGGAAAGTTGAACTAAATGCAATGAGCCAAATAAAGCTACAAAGTGCCTTCAGTATTCCTCGGGGTAGAAAATGGAGCACCAATGTATATAACGGAATCAGCTATAAAAAGTAGAGTGACCTAAGAGATTCAGCACTGTTGTGCAAGTGCAGCCATTGTTTGCAAAGTGCTATAACTTTGAGAGGTGATGGAATCCCCTGGGCAATGTCAGCACTCCCTCCCATGGTCAGAGGCACTTTCTCCCTACAAGTACCTTCTTATTCCAGGATGACAAGAGACAGTTACACCTACACTGCAAATCATTATAAACCTCCCTCCCTTTTTGGTCAGACTGCTTGACTACTTAAATATTTTACAAAAAACAAAAACAAAAACTTCAGTTCACAGGCAGCTCCGAAAGAATTTCCTTCTGACCCACAGGCAGCAACACACCTAAGGTGGTATCACTTGCTTAGTTGCTGTGCAAAGGCCACCAGAGAAAACACCCCAAATCTAGCATTAATATTTTCAATCCCACTTCGCTGTGCTTTACTTTTTGTCTTTGGTTCCTAATTACTGCTTCTATTCCTCTCAAAAACTTCATTTATCTCTTTCAGTTAAAAAGAACAGTAATAATATGTTGAACAACTCTGAAATAAATTTTGTCATGTAAAAAATTAATTACGCATTCCAAACCTGGTCACTGTAGTCCTCCGGGAATTGCCTCTGCACCTCAGGATCTGTAAATAATTGACAGATAATATTAATTGGCTTTGGATTAGTGAGCAAGCAGAGGATCACACATTAATATTTGATCAGAAGATGATAGCAGCCCTGGCAGGGGATCCAAGGGGGGCAGCTGAGGCTGCTATGTTGATGAGCACAAGGAAGGCCTCAGCAAGGCACTCCCATTGCCCTCCTCCAGAAATATAAAAAAGAAAAATTTTAAAGGCCTGATGCTACTGTTAACTTTAGACTATTACCTAATGTGAATATCTTGCCAGCTGCAAATTGCCCTCAATATATTTTTTTCAAAGAAAATGAATCTTAAACCTGCTTGACTTTTCTTTTCTAATCAGCAGCCTCCTTTTCATCATTACAGATGTTGGCCTGATAAACCCTAAGTGTTAGACAGAGACTAGGGAGAAAAGGACAGCAAAGGAAGAATTCCTTCAAGGAGCAAATATAAAAGTCAGCACTTTAAAAAATAAAACATGTTCTTCCCTGAGTGTGTATGAAAACAAAACCACAACTAGAGAAAGTTTCCTTCAAAACAAAGCCAGGACTTTTGATCTGTTAATATAAAATTAAATATTATAAGAAATTATTCTTACCTTGACATAATTTGGCTTGTGTAGAAACTATAAAAATACAAAGATGAAAATACCTCTTCTGACTACCTCTGTAGTATGGAGTTACAAAAGGGGTCACTTTATTTTTAAGTCATAACCATAAGACAATGCTAAGTCTGCTAAGTCAATACAGACATGTACCAAGTAAGAGCTATTAGCACTCCAACTATAACCCATTAGGAAAGCATGCAATTTTTTCAATAAGAAAAAGATTAGGCTCCTCAGAGATTCTTTTCAATAAGAAAAAGATTAGGCTCCTCAGAGATATGCTGCAAGGGGTAAGGGGTCAGGATAGGATGTATTTGGGAAATCATGCATCAACGCAAAAGACAATGTTTAGTGATCTCCCACCTAACAGTAATCTCACAGTACACGCTGCTTGTTTTTATTTGTGTCTTTAAAAGCTACACTAAAATACCAACTGACTTCCCTGTGAACATGAATCTTTGCAAAGGTTCAAATCTTCCAAGTCACAATTAATTCCTCAATGAGGAAAGACCAAAAATAGATGAGTGAGCTAAAGTTACTACCTTTAAAGTTTTGAAATACCTGTTTAAAATCATGAAAGTCTAAGAGTAGCCCAAAGAACAGAAATATTCACAAATATTAAAAGTATTGTTCCCCGTGTAAATGGTACATAATGCAGACCATTTTTGCCTCTTTGGGTGTTTTTGTTTAGCTTTGCAACAAATGGCTACTATTATGGAAGACCACAACCGTTCAAAATCCAGAGTTTGGATCCCAGTCCCAATGGAGACTTCCAAATATAAGGTTCTGCTCTTGCAGAAGAGCAGGCTGAAAGATTTTAATAACCAGAGAATCAGGGAGTTTGCTGTGCGAATGTGTCTCTAGTAACTTCAGAAGCTACACCCACAAAGTCTTACCAACAAGACTGCCTAAACATGAGCTGAACACTGACAATAGCAGTAGACACGCCAAAGTGCATTAGGGAAAGATTACAAGGCCTGATCCCTATACAAAGAATTACATATAACTAAAGAATGCTGGGAGTGGGAGAAATAGTCTTCCACAGGGAAGAGCACAACTGGTTATCCAATGCTAAATGGTGAGTCCTAAAAACATACATATAAGTAACATTATGCAGACTGCACAGGCTATATTTAGGAATATATGTATACACATGTACACATATGCATATAATAATTAATGGAAAAAAGGTCACGAATTTGAAAGAAAGCAAGGAAGGGCATATGGGAGAGTTTGGAGGAAGAATAGGGAATGAGGAAATGATGTAATTAAACTATAATCTCAAAAATAAAAGAAATAATAAAAATGAAAAAAGACAAGTGGAAATCACCTTCTCTCTTTACCTTCACCTTCAACTACTGAGACTAATGAGTGTGTCTAGGCTATGACCTAAAGAGTTCTAGAGGAATACTCCCTGCAGCACCCGTCCTGAGCTAGAGAGAAAAAGTGTTGCCTATCTTTGACCTACCCATTTGACCTACACAGGAGTCTGCTCTCCTGAGACAGGAGGCCAGAGGGTACTAGCTAACTGGCAGGCAGAGTCTTAAGTTAAATATCTCTTATCCAAAATGCTTACAATCAGAGTGTTAAAGATTTGTGAGGTTCTCATATTTTTGGAATATTTGTATGGACTTCATGGGTTGAACATTCTTAACCCAAATGGCCAACATCTGATGTTGAAGCATTTCAGTTCTATACATGTTCAAACTGTATAGAGCCTAACAAAGAGAAGTTAGCAGCCAGATGTTAGCACCAGAAACTTGGTGGTAGTAGAGCTTTAAAAAAAAAAAAAAAAAAAAAAGCAGCAGCAGCACAGTGACTATCATGCCTGAAACAAACAAAACTACCTGACATTTTAGTCTAGAAACTAACCTAAAAGCCCCAGCTCTACATCACTGAGGCACAATGAATCACATGGTGTAGAAAGCCAGAGTCACCCACAACTTGCTCCTTTTCTCCCAAGTGCCATGTGGTTAACATAACTCTTCAATCAGAAAAATTCATACATATGCCTTCATATTAGATCCTAACTACCATGTCTTCTTTCTTGCGGTAGTTTATGCTTCTTGGGAATCACAAAATACCAGCAAAATAAAAAGCGTAGGCTTTATTTTTCCACTACCATCTTGTGAAAGAATAAATACTAGAAATCAAAATTTGTAATATACTCATCAAACTTTCTTGTTTAAATGAAAGACAAAGTTCCTAAATCTTTTTAAACCCTCTAGTAATAAGAAACAATATTAATAAGAAACCCATTACTTTAAAATGATACTTTAAATAATTGTTTCATATATAACAGAATTAAGAAAAAATAGATGGAAAAGGATCAACCCAGTTTAACACACTGAAAGTAAAGATGCCTATGGCAGCCAATAAGGCCATCCCAAGCACATTACAGCAAACACTGCTTCAACAGTTGGCAGCAAAAATGCCAAAGGCCATCCCTAAAGTCAGAGTCCCAGATTTTAACAGACCAATGTTTCAGTACAATACACTCACTATTGTTTACTACAATTCAAGCATGAGACTTTTGTTTGGTTTTTTTTAAGGCCCCAGAGGTTTACAAAAAGCAAACTTCATGGTTTTTTAACATTCTCTAAGACAATACTTTTTTTTAAGCCAGTGCTTTTTAAGACAAAGTCCAACCTATAAAGTTCCATTCAATTAATTCAAAGATCCAGTCTGATGATTAATAAAACTATGAAAGCCATTTTGTAAAACTCGAGACAGAGACTGCAAACAATTTATTTTTCTTAAAGCACCTATTTTGAATAAGAGGCTGCAATGTTTTTTCACATTAAGTTGATCAGGATCCCATAATGTCACCAAAATACTGACATTGGAAACATGTGAGTTACAAAGGTCCAAAGACAATCTGCTTTTCTCAAGCAACACAACACCCTGCATTACTAACACTTACAGCATGGCACATACAAAACATAGCACCCTGCAGTTAAGCAAACCGCCTTTAAATTTTCTGTCTGGCAGCAATCCACTTGCGTGTCTGTATGTTTTTACAAGTACTCTATGTATTTCATTGCGTCAGCTGCATTTCTTTGAGTTTTAAATGGTCTGGGAACATTTTATGAAATGTTCTATATATTTATATGGAAAATAATGTACACTGGAAAACAGCATCAGTCTGATATTTATAAATCCATTTTTTTATCCACCATCTAGCACTGTAACTTCTAATGTTCCAAAACACCCTCTCATTCAGAAGCACACCACCAAATGCAGTGTCACCACCAGCTAGCTTTTCACGTGAAAATCTGCAGATCAGGAGTGCTACTGTGAAAGAGGGCAAGGAACAATGTGCTGAGGTGGATGGCCATAAGAACAGTAGTAAGTTCATGTTGGCCTTTTTCCCTGAGAACTGAGAAATTAAAAACATAACAACATACACTTTCCCTTAACCTCCTGGCTTGGCAAGTTTCTTCTTATTCAAACTTAAAAATAAATTATAACACGCCCCAGGTAAACACTTTTCTTTTGTTGCTGTTGTTCTAAGATAGGGTTCCTGGATGTCTCAGAACTCACAATGTAGACCAGGCTGGCCTCTAAATCACAGCAATCTTCCTGAGTGCCTGGATTAAAGGCATACACAACCACACCCAGCAGGAAAATACTTTTCAATAGGAAAAAAAAAATGTAATTATGTATTTAAAATACTTTGTCAACAATATGGAACATCTGATAAGAGTCCACACACCTTTTAACCAAAAATGCCTTAATAAAAAAAAAAAAAAAAGGCTTCTGACAAGGTTCCATGTCACGTCAGCATGAAGGACACTGCCTTCTCCTAGAAGCATGGCTACTACAAGTCTGTCCTCACAATAACACCATTTCTCCTAAAGGCCACAGGACAAAATGTCACAGTGCAGGCCTCTCAGCAGTACAATTTCAATCCAGCAGAACATGGCATGGCTGAAAACAGAAACCTCCAGAAAAGACTGACTTCCTTCAGTCTCAACAACCCATGTTTTCTAGTCTCCAACTATACATACTTTTAAATATTTAATAAGATACACCAGATTGCCACAGGATGTTTAATTAATAGAATAAGAATTTGGGCAAGACTCATTGGAAAGGTGCTATAAATTATTTTATACAGCTCCAAAACCCTTGCATTTGCCTTAGGCTTAAAGTTCCTAGAAAACCCAGTAGAGAGTTTTTACAACAAAAATACAAAATATATCATAAAAATGCCATGGTTGTGTATGAGGTCTCATTTGCACATTGGTAATTAGTATGTAAACATACACTCTCAAACACAAGTCATTCCAAATTATTTCTGGTTCTCTCTTCCTCACCCATGACTAACTACATTTGAAGAGGAAGGCATGGCATATTTTTTAATCAATTATTGAAAAATATGCTGATTTTATTTTGTATGA